TTGATGGTATATAAATGAATCACATAATAATCCCTCTTTAAAATCCAGTGTCTCGCCCTTTAACCGAACAATAAGTAATATGTAACATAGCATTATCACAAAATATTGCGACTTTGGTACCAAGCAGACGACTTCAAATTATATTTAAAAATTAAGTACAATTATAAAAAAAATAGTGTACAAATTCGCCAACAAACTGTCAAGCTGTTTGGCTGTAATTGTATATAAATTGTAGATAAATAGTAACTGTATATTTTAAATAAATTAATAAAATAAAACACAAAGTCCAAGTGACTAAGCTGGTCAAATAACTTGGATATGATTGATTGAATCATTGATTGAGATTTATAAATTTAAATTTTCAGCTTGAACTTTTGATTCCTATTTTTAATCATTACTTTTAATCATCAATCAAATAAACTTTCGGCTAACACTGGTCGTAGCTGACCAGTAAATTATTAACCATAATCAAATATTTAAATACAATCTTATTTTCCAGTGCTCATGTGTTCGCTCTCTCGACAATACAAATTTTGTATTCCTGAGTGTATTTATTTGCATTGTATCTGCTTGTGCAGTATTGATTATAAATACAAATTGTGTTTCTATCAATCTGTAAACTATATGAGCAATATTACTAAAAAATATCACTGGGATAAGAACAAAAAGATATTACGAGCAATACCAAAGAAACAACTAGTATATCATAATTACAATGAAGTTGAAAACAAACTTTATAACTAACTGCACATAATCTAGAATCACATAATTGAAGTTTTTAAAGAGTTTCGAAAAGAAATTAACTATTATATGAACGATGCATCGTACTATAATTCAAAACTTTCCTAAGTATCTGTAATGAAAGGGCATATCAGAGAATAAGTATCTAGTACTTACTAGTTTGTAAGTCTGTAAAAGGTAATAACAGACCACGCTGTAGTTGGTGGACATAGTCTAACGAGCCATTTTAGTTAACCGTTACTTATACGTGTGTAACTAAAGTTACTAAGTAGTTAAGTTACTTTACTTACTATACTTTACTAGTTATAATATTAATAGTACAGTTCTGTTAGATTTGAGGGAGGAATATTATTGATTTATAATAATTAAATATTATTTTAAAGTATACTAATAATATTAGAACATTGTAAAGTACAATAAAGTGTATTAAAATGTTTTGTTTGTGTGTGCTCTTATAAAGCGTTACAATAGTGACGATTTTAAAAAAAATGCACTAAAGCAAAAAAAAATTACTTATGCTATACATATGTATTGAGTATGGTATTCAATACATATGTATAGGTTATACATATGTATTGAATACCATAGTTAGATAGTTCAATATAAGTTAATAATAAGTAAAGGAATTGTTAGTAATAACTGCACTTGATTTAGAATAACTCCTGTTGTAGACTGTACTACGTGTTGAAGTAAATTATACTTGTTTACTACAGGCCCCACATACGAACTCTTTTTTCAGGTCTGAATATTTTGCCATCATTTGCCATCTGGACAAATCACACAGCGCTTTCTAATTCTAAGCTAAACACTTAACAATTTATATACAAATACAGAAAATACACATATAACGTACAAAGAAACCAATACAAATAACTTATGGAAACAATGTATATATTGTCAGAGAATCAAACCTATGATCATCGAATGTAAGGCATTCTTCTAAACCGCCAAATCATCAGGGCCGTCCTTTATGTATCTTCATAATATTAGTATTAGTATATATATATATATATATTGAATTTGAATTTGAATTTGAATATATATATATCTATAGTATATAATATTATAATCGTGAAATTTCGTGAGTAGAATGTATAAATGTTTGTTACTTTTGATTAAACATTGCAGTAGGTAATACAGCTTACACATCAGAATAACGCATAGACTATAAATTAAAAAGATATATAAATTGAGCGAAATATAATAACAAATGCAAAATGAAATACAGACGAAGTAACTCATGTGAAATAGTAAAACAGTTACCTATTCCATTGTGTCGACGTATACATCGATCATTTCTAATAAAAATTTCAGACTCAAGGAATCGCATAACGCAAACTTGCAGCTGTATATTTACTTAATTAAATCTTTATATCACTGACGGCAAGGTAATAGCATACCTTGAAGTGGAGGGGATTGTTAGTAATGGAAATAGTACCGTCATTACGCTATTGTTAGCAATGTCTCCTTGGAAAGTATCGTGGTGAATTGTTGATGATTTGTTGAAGTTTATGAACTGGCTTTATATGATTTATATTTCAGTGATGCATGTTAGCGTATATGATTTAGATAATTAGTGGATGTACAGCAGTATAATAATAATAATAATTATTATTATTATTGTACGGAAATATCTGTCGTCTTCACTTTCATCATCCTCATATAACTTTTAACCTCGTCCTCGCTTGGCTAAGGTCCGCGTGTTTGAATGTATTACCCCTGTAAAAAGGGAGATATATAAAACATTTATATAATAATTATAATAATCAATAGTCTAGTACCCATAACATAAGCTCTGCTTAGCTTGATAATGCTGTGTGTGTGAATTGTCCTGAGATTAATATTATTATTTGTATATTTTTTTTCTCAGCTTTCTTTTAGCTGGGTTATTACGCTTTGCGGCGTATACGTAATATACATATAATAATATTAATCTCAGGACAATTCACACAGCGCCATCTAGACTTTTTTTTAAGTTAAGTTAAGCTAGCTAAATCTTGTGTTATGGGTACTAGATAATTGACACAAATACATAGATTTTTTTTTCGTAAATACATACATATTATACATAGATAACACCCAGACCGAAACAAACAATCATACTCATGAATACAAATGTTTGTGCAGTGCGAGGAATCGAACACGCGACCATTGGACGTAAAGCGGTGTACTAGACCGCTAGACCACTCGTCGTCGTCGGTCGTCAATATATACATAATTTATTTCTGATTACATCACATCAGAGTATGTATAGACGTTATTTCTGTTACAAAACTGTATAATTGGTACTAAATTTTAATGAGATGAATTATTTTTTAACAATTCACACTGCACCATCAAGCTAAGCAGAGCTTATGTTATGGGTACTACACTATTGAGAGATATATTTAGATTTTTCTGTAAATACATACATAATATACATATAAATCACCCAGACCAATACAAATAATAATTCTCATGAATACATAGATTTGCACAATACGAGGAACCGAACCTGCGACCATCGGTAACGTAAAGTAAAACGGTATTATAAATCCCTAGACCACAGAGGCCGTTAAATTGAAGGATAGGATTAAATTAAAATACATTGAACATTCATATTTTTTGTTTCTTTTATTATTATTTTACTTTCAGTCAATGTATATAGGACTATAAGGTTAGCACAATAAGGTAACATGTACCAAATCACTATTATTCTTTAAAAAATATATAACGTCCTAGTAAACTTCTCTTTCAATCCCATTGCTTTAACGAAAGCAAATACCGAATTTGTTGACACAAAAATTACAGTACATACTCATAATTATATGACACGAAATTTCACACCTACAATTTATATGTCATATGCATTATTCATTTAATTATAATACACATACGATATGATTCCTACCACTAGGACCGTTACAGACTTTCTTCAAGTTTATAATTACCATATAAACGTATGAAAGTACCTACTCATTGAAATATGTTCACTTTTTCACCACGTTTACTTTAAAGTCTATACAAATGCACAGAAAGTTGGTATTTCTATACACAATCTAGGTGACGTGCACACGCGAGAGTTTGCTATCACGCGATTTGGTGCTTAACTGTCAGATTCAAACCTAAGGTATTAAACCAATTTTTCAACCTGAAAGCTTCATGATACGGCATATTAAAATCGAGCAAACCTTTATTACACCATGTAGTCTCGATTTAGAATTGATTTTAAGAATTTTTGAAAATAATCATTTATTCAAATTCGTATTTGCAAGTTGAAGTGGCAGTGGGCTGGTCATATCTGTCGTAGAACCGATGCTTGCTGGAGTAGGCGTGTTCTAGAGTGGAGACCGCGAATTGGCAAACGTAGTGTAGGACGCCCCGCAGCTAGGTGGAGCGACGACATACGTAGGGTTGCGGGTAAAAGTTGGAAGAGAAGGGCTGAAGATCGTGCCCAGTGGCGTGCCTTGGGAGAGGCCTATGTCCAGCAGTGGACTGCAGTGGGCTGATGATAATGATGATTTATTCAAATAAACTTAATTTAAGCACTTTTGAATAGTCATAACAATTTATTTTATCTACCGCTCATTCGAAAAGCTGTCTCATCGCAACAAGAATGAGCAAGAAATTTGTGTGTTGCTCTTTTAAATAATCCTTGTAAGTTCACATTTACAAGTCGAAACGTGTGAATACAAACTACCAACCAGTACTAATTTATTAGAATCAAATATAAATATACAATAAGATTAAATCAGTTGTGGTGATAAGAGCAGACCAGGGGCCGTATTATGAACTCTTATTCCCATTCAGTTTACGGCTTAAACTGAAGTGCCTGGCGATTTCGTATTACGAACGCTATTAGCCAGCCAGTCAGCGGTCACGTGACAGCTGAACGTCTTCTGCCCGAAAACTGACCGGCTATTTCGTATTATGAGCGTTTCATTTGACAGATCTAAGCGGACGCAACTGTCAAAAAGGCCGTTTAAAAACAATTCAGTTTACGGTGGCTTCATATTAGCTTTTATAGAATTGTTTTCTAATTTATAGCTTCATTATTGTAATTTGGTTATTATTTCTATTTCTATGTCAGTTTTTATTATGTTTATAACATGTTTGTGCAGTTATTTCGATTGTTTTTGTTTCGTTTTAATTTTAATTATATGTGATGAAGTCGAAGTATTGGAGTTTTTGGAAATGTGTGCACCCTACGAAAAAGAAGTAAGGAAAGTGAAAAGACGGCGATTACGCGACCAATCCAATCCTATTGATATAGACAATGAACAATTTAGAAAACGTTATAATCTAAATAAAGATTTGGTGCGTAATATGCGTGCGAACTCATATGCCGGTATCATCGAAATTTACAGACCTACCAGTGGAAACTAAGGTATAATGTATTGTAATTATTTCACTAAATCACTAGCTGACTATGTCAGGTTTTAGTAGCATTATTATTTATGCTACAGGCATATTTATCAACGGCCTATTAGTGATATTGCTGTTCATTCTTTAGCACAGCCAATGGCAAATAACCGATTTATTGCATTTACCCAACATCCAAAAGTAAATACATATATAAAATTCCAAGGACATCTGAGTAAAGGATAGATAATAAATATTCAAAGGTATCTATTTCTATACAATTAGCAACTATTATTGTTGCAAATACATCTATGAGTACCATGTACCATACCATATGATATAGTGATAATATATATAGTAAAATGTATGCATACAAGTAAAGCCTAGAAAGCAAGTATACAACAGTCTGATGATGTGCAGTCTCTCCGGCACTTTCCTCCGAGGACAATTAATTAAATTAAATTAATTATATTTTAGGTTTTATAATTGGAATTTGGAATGCTGGGTGTATTGGGCTGTATTTGACTGTACACATGCCACCCCATTGTAAATTAAGAAGAGATATTACTGTAGAAAACAATACCATTCATTAAATATATAATTGGTAAGTGAAATATAAATTAAAAGACATGTTTAATAATATAAGCATTTTTAATATCTTTTTTTAATATAATTATATAAATTAACAATAAACAAGATTTTAGACATGCAAAATATGTTAATGAATATACATCTCTAAAGCTACTTATATACTAACAATTGTACTAACAAAAAATATTAAATGACCATAACACTTAGACATATGTTTCAAATAATATTTATCCATTAATTATTCTCTTATGTTTCAAATAATCTTCATCTATGTAATTAATCTGGAAAAAAATTTAGGTTAGTAATGCTGACATGGAGATTGTAAGTGTGGATGCCAACTGGAACTGGAGCTACTCATGACATTTGGGCAAACCAGAGGCATTAAGCAACATCTAGAGGACTTAAGCTGGAATAAATCCTTATGATTACTTGGTAAGCACAAAATTTTATTATGAAACTACAAACATCATTACATCTAAGATCTAAACTTCAGTAATTTAGAAACATAGTTATTTATCAGCACCAACAGTTATTGTGCTGTGTTTTTAATGAAATAATACTTTTTGTAAATAAATATTAATATTATAGTATATTATATGTTGTTTTTATTAGGAGATCCAGGATATGCTTTAGAGAAGTATACTCCCATCTCAAATGCTATACCAGGACCACAAGAAGCATATTACACTGTATGAACATGGAATATCATTGAGAGCACAATTGGGCTTCTAGATTTAGAAGCCTACATGTACTTTGAGCTCTTATAGAGAACTAAATGAAGGTCTAGCTGCTAGACAAACCCATGTTGTTTAGTTGTGGAACTAAGAAATTGAAACATTTATAAATAATAATATTGTTAATAGGTGAATGTTTTAATTATTTGTTTTTATAATAAATGATATAGGTACATTATTTATGTCTTTTATTGGTAGTTATAATTAAAGGGATATGATAATTTTATTATATACTAGTTATTACCTATGACTTTGTCCATATGGCATACCTAGTTTTTGTTAAAATAAATAAAATATTTCAAATAAAAGTAACTTAAGTTACTCCTTTACACAACTCATTACATATGACAGTGAAAGTATCCCTCAAATTTGGTCCAGCTGTTTCAAAGATTAGCAAGAACAAACAAACGGACAGACAAATATTTTTATTTTTTTAATGTCATTTATCTTACCTTATATATGTATGCATTTAATGAAAAGCTGTTGTATGGTGAACTTCAAAATTACAAACAGATACTTCAATTTATTTGCATAGATACATGTATTTCAGATTTTACTGAGATTCCTATTAAATGAAATAAATTAAAATTCAGATGGTTACCTTATAACACTTAAATTTGACAATCCTTTCCAGTCTTTAAAACCCCCTTTTCCTAAGGAGTTTAATTGTTGAGCGACGTCCTCACACAAGCGATTGGTATAGTATTCTCGAGCGGACTTATTAAAGCCACTTGCCATTTTCCTATGGGATTTTAAATCCCATATAATTTCAAATTACCGGTACGATACACGACGTTGACGAGAGGTTTCAGTCCCTGATCTACAATTTAGTTAGATAAATATACAAATATAAACAGTTAAATATTAGCATTATTTTAAAAAAACATTATTAAGAAACCGTTAGGAATACTTACGTTACATTAGGTATATTTTTCACAATAATTAAATTATTAAATTTAACTTGCGTATAAAGTCATGGAAAGGCTAAGTTTCAAATTGTACATTAAAATCAGAATTAAGTACTTTGCGCGGAATTTTAAGTAGATGCACAAAGTTCGTTTGGATATTACAATGAAAATATTTTTTACAAATAAATCCGAATTATTAAAAAAGACAATAAAACTGTCTGGAATATTTTTGTATATTACACAAATTCTACCATTGTATCTTAATTACTGTTTTCTATATTTAATTTACATTTATTTAATTAATATTTTGTCCAAAAAGTGACATACAAAAACTCGACTTAACGTTGCAACGAATGTATGCGTATCCGAACGCAGCGCGAGAAAATCCACTAACCAGCCAGAGACAAACTATCCAGGCAGAATACGGTTTGAATTTGGACCCTCATAATACGAAAAAGAACAATTCAATTTAAGGCCGTAAACTGAACAGCCTGGAAACTGACTGGATTTTAAAGAGTTCATAATACGCCCCCAGTCCCTGCAGGCAGCACTCGTTCACGAGTACGACGGATGAGCCAGCCATCACTGCGTTCGACCATATTTTAGGGAGCCCGAAGACCTAGCCCACCACGCCACCACATGTCTGGACGTTTTAGTGAGCACGACTACACATTCCACTCGACCACGTTACAGCTACTTAAAATTACTATATGGTAGTTACAGTATTCGCACTTTACATGAGGATGCATGCGGCAATCAATACAAAAACCGCTACGCTATCATATATCAAGAAAGCAGTATGAAAAATAAATTATAACGTTGTCCGCAACTACATTTATTCTTGCTATATATTGGCTTGCTAAGGTTATAAGATAATAATAAGGTTATATATATGAGATTTCTTTATATACTACGAAAAAACAAGCATACGGCTCATCGGATGGTAAACAGTTGCTGTAGCCTATAGACGTCTGAAATACGAATGGTGTCGTGCCCAAAGACCTAATCCACCACGCCGCCACATGTCTGGACGTTTTAGTGAGCACGACTACTCATTCCACTCGACCACGTCATACATTACAGTATTCGCACTTTACATAAGAATGCATGCAGCAATCAATACAAAAGCTACGCTATCATGTATCAAGAAAGGAGACAGATTAGAGTGGGACTGGGAGAGCGTTTTATGATGTTTATATTGGTTAGAGTGACAAGTTTAGCTTGTATCTTTGCTTATGTCACCTTAATAATGTTACAAACGTGAAAGTATGTCAGTATAGATGGTTGTTTGTTACTTTTCCACGCATAAACTGCTGAACGGATTTTGATGAAACTTTACAGTAATATAGCTTATGTGTCAGAATAATACATAAGTTATATTTTTTATTGAAATTTAACGCGGGTGAAAACGGTCATAGCTGGTATATGTATATAGGTATAAACAGCATAGATATGATGACCTGGTATCTCGTTTTCCTACTGCAATGCTTGTGGTACAGCTCTCCCCATGCCACTCTTAAAATCGTAGAATTAAAAAGTGTGACCATGCAAAAGTGACTATTAAGTCTATTTGAATAAAGATTTTTTCTATTTATATTTCTATATGTTTTACTTTTGTACGTACAATTATAATTTCTAAAAACCGTATTTTCATAATTATATTTATCAATAGGTATATACATATAGTCCTTCGCTCATAATATTCATATTTAACACTAGCTGTTCCCGCGACTTCGTCCGCCTGGAAATTAACTTTATTTTTCTAAAAGTAGCCGAAGTTACTCCTTATTACATCAGCTACCTGCCAACAAAATTCCCGTTAAAATCGGTCCAGCCATTTCAGAGATTAGCCGGAACAAACAGACAGATAGACAAAAATTGTAAAAAATGTTATTTTGGTGTATGTAACATTTTTATATTCATATGCATGTAGTAAAAAACGGTTGTTTCAATAGTACAAACAGGCACTCCAATTTTATTTGTATGTATAGATAGAAAACACCCAGATCGATACTCATAATATCATAATATCACGTCATCATATGACACGCGTGAACTCATTGCGGTTCTGGGTCATTGCTCTCACCCTGTAGTTTCACTCACCTTGTCCTTCACTGGCACTTAACTAAAAACTGCCTGAAATACTTGTTGGTGAAATATAGACCCACGCATTTGGCTTCTGCTCTGTGTCAGTCTGTCTGTGTAAAAAACAGGGACGTTAGGGAGCTCCGTAACCGTAACCGAAACTATCGGATCTCCGATAAAAAAAAATATTCATAAACGAAACCGAATCTGAAATAATAATTTCGGATAATATCGGATAGGGGCCGAGCCTAATTGAGACACGTTATGTAACCATTTTATTAGCTATTTGTATTTTACTTTTGAAATTCCTTAAAAATTATCCAAAACGGATAATCCGAAATAATTTCATATCCGCATCCGTATCCGTATCCGGTATAATAATAATTCCTATATCCGAAATCTATCCGTATCCGAAATTTCGTATCCATAACATCCCTGGTAAAAATACTAAGTGAACGTACTACGTTGTTTTCCAGTAGAGTGCGTAAAGATACGATAATTTATTCATTATCAACTCGAGTATGAAATAGGGTGAGTAACGAAAGACTCATTAAAAATATACCTGTTTATCTTCTTACCAGTTCTTCTAAAGTGAAGTAGCTAGCTGAACTCGTCTGTGATAGCAGTAAATTGTGATAGTAGGGAATTCATCACCACACGCTGGAACCTAAGTGATCTCGGACACGTCGGTTTCAGAGGAGCTTCCACTTCGATTGTGGAATGAACTACCTGCCGAGATCTTCAAGAAGGGTATATTGAGGTTTCTTAACGGTCGGCAACGTATACATAACCCCCCTGGTAATTTAGGCAGCAAAAAATCTGTGCATAACCCCTTCGATCGACCCCCATCCAATTCAAACGGGGATCGATATCACAACGGTCTGAGATTCGAACCCCTAAACCTCTTAACTCCGGTGGATTCAGACTAAAGTCGTATCCGTCAGATGGAGGCCTTCAGCTGCTCCATAAGCCCTTCCGCGGGTTTGGAGTGCCCTGCACTCGCACAATATTATCCGGTGAAGCTGTAAAGGCCAGCTACGGCCAACAGCATTAGAGTAGTCCAAAAAAAAAGTGCATAAGTAACAGAAAGATGTTATACGATTCAATGATTTATGACTAACATAACAAGCTGCAGCGCTTGTCGTAAGTCAACAAGTGAAGTTGAATAGCTTCACTGAGTTTTTAATCGATGGAACTGCGAAATACGTTCCATCTGGGATAGAACTTTATTTCATTCAGATAACTTTAATGCACTTCCATTAAAGTTATATGAATGAAATAAAATTCTATGAAGATGATGGAAAATAACTATCTTTACTTACTATGTTAGTGCTACGAAAATTATAGTTACGTTTAAAGTACCTAATTGCTTTTCTACATTGACATATACAGATACAAGCTGTGTCCGCCACTTCGTCTACGTGGAATAGTGGTCTTGACCAAAAAATTAAGAAATATTTAATAATGTATCTGAAGAAATCTTATTTGTTATTCTATTTTATTTAATCAACAGCCTAAAAAGAATGTTTAAAAGCTTTAAAAATGACGATACTTCCATGCAACCCTTTATCTCCCCTTTCAACCCTTTACAACCCTTTTTCGCCTTACATAGTACCCTAAATCCTTTTCAATTCATTCAATCCTTCAATTTCTGGTCTATCTGTGTACCAAATTTTATTAAAGTTTAGGCGTAAAGTGCGACAGATAGACAAACAGACAGTTAGAGTTACTTTCGTAAATATAATATTATTAACGACTTGGTAGATACAAGAAGAAGAATATAATGTTTTATCAAATAATTGCTTTATGTTGTCATAATTTTTACATAACTCATTATTGCCATCTAGGAGGTAAAGTGGAATATTTTTCCCAACACATTTAGCCTTTATATATTTTGAAATAATTATTCAATATAGCGTATTTCTCTGTATAAGATTATTTGAGACATGACCTTCGTTAGTTTTTCAG